CCTGAAAACTGCTATCATGTCCCCTCTCAGTCTTCTCTTTTCCAAACTAAATATGACTGTGGCATATTGGTTATGTGCTGAGCTTGAGCTGAAGAATTATGAGATGCTTGTTGATCCCCACGGGAAGCTCCAAAAGCTGACTGGCGATCTTATTTTTGATGGCAAAGCCAATCCCATGAACGGATCTCTCTTCAGATGGCTTTCCTTTCCAAAAGAAAGTGTAGCCACCCCCAGTGGCCCGGCGGGTCTCACTAAGGGCTGCAATGTGAATGTTGAGTCTTGCCAATTCTCTGGCAATTGTGACAGTTCTTCTTTTCTGGGCATTCACTGTGCTGAGAGTCCATAAGGGTGCAGACATTCCAGGTAGAGAATTTCATTGTCTTATATCTCTTATTTCAGCCGCACTGTTGAGTGATACCACTGACTGCAGCCATCTAGTCGGAAAAGTGTGAGACAGCCTATGTTTGGGGCACCTTTTTTAGCCCCCTCCCCATTTGGGGTGAGCAGAAGGGATCCTGAAAAGCCCTGGTCTGTCACAGCTGCTGCTGTCAAAATGCACTTCTGTTTCATCCAAGCACAAGATGACCATCACACGGCTGCTGCCTCTGTGCAGATTTGTGACTGAAGACTCCCAGAGATCACTGTGCCTGTCTTCACCACCACTCGTCCATCGCTGCAGGGCTTTGTATGGGTGTGAGCCCTTTGGCAGAGGCCAGTGCGTGAAATCTTTTCATGTGGGGAAACAGGTGCTCAGGCGGTAACCACACGAGACTTGAGAGGAGGAAAATCCTGACTCAGTGGCAAGGGAATCCAAGAGAACCAGGGACCTTCCTCCTGCTGCAGCCCTCATCTGCCTTCACAGCCACAGTGTACTACAAGGTTCTCTTATGCACCCGATCCGCCTTTGGGGTCTTGCACCTCACATATACAGAAGGAACCACCTCAGACAAGAAATCATCTCATGCTCCCACACGCTGGAAGAAAAAGAAACCAGGAAACCTACTGGCGCTCATGCAGGAAATCAAAACCAACAGAAGTTGGTCCAATAAAAGATATTCCCTCACCCACTAAGGATGTGACACATTGTCCACCAGAAGTCTTTAAATCAAGATTGGATGTTTTCTCTAAAAGATATGTGCTACCAGAAGTGATGTACTTGATGCAGGAACCACTGTGTGAAATTCTATGGCATGTGCAATGCAACAGATCAAACTAGATGATCATAATGGTTTCTTCTAGCCCTAAAATCTATGTGCCTAGAGGCAACGAGTGACTTAGTGGTCAAGAATGAAAATGAGGGACAGAAATGCCACCTTGAGGATATCCATGTTTACTTAAATGTACAAGTAGTAAGCAACTGAAACAAAGGCACATGCAATAACAAAAAGGACTACTACCTCACAATTAATTACAAATTAAATATGACGTGAATGGAAATAAACTATTTAAATATATGTATTTATTTATTCTGACATATCTGATAAACGATGAAGAACAAGGGATGTTTGAATACATGAACTCACTGAAGGACAACCAACATACTAGAAATACAAACTTTATAAATTGACATCCAATCCTAACGTTGTAATTACTTTGCCAACAAAGGCACACTGAGGAAAGGATCTGTAAATGCTGTTCTACTCAGTTTCTTTTCACAACACCCTTCATTATGATGTGGCAATAGCAAATTCCTGGCACATTATTCTAATTATGCTAATAGTGCTTAATCTATAAGCCCCTTCATGAGACCTAATGACCACCACTGAAGTTATTGAAAATAGAGGAAAAGGAAAACAATTTTAACCTCAAATGCTACACCCCAATTTGAAATTTCATGTACTGGATGGGATTTACAAAGGGTCTTAAAAGAGTTAGGTACTCAGGCTAGGATTTTAAAAGGAGCCTAATGCAGTTGGGTGCCCAAATCTCATGGGCTTTCAATGGGAATTGGATAGTTAGAGCCCGTAAAACCTTTGAAAATCCCACCCTTCTCATGGGACTGTATCTATAGGGAGAGGAGGGATAGCTCAGTGGTTTGAGTATTAGCCTGCCAAACCCAGGGTTGTGAGTTCAATCCTTAAAGGGACCATTTAGGGATCTGGGGCAAAAATCTGTCTGGGGATTAGTCCTGCCCTGAGCAGGGGGTTAGCCTACATGACTTCCTAAGGTCCCTTCCAACCCTGGTATTCTATGACTAAAGACAAAGATTACAGATGCTGGGCCATATTCTGCTCTCAAATCATAGTAACTCCAGTGAAACCTATGAAGTTGTGATGAATTTATACTGTTGCAACAGAGAGCAGAATATATAGTCCATGCAGCCAATCAGTGTTAAAAACAATTTGCAGTCCACACATGAATTTAGCAAACTAACTACTTGCTTTAGTGGAGCTAACTGGCTGAGTATGAGTAAAGTTTGCAAGCTCAACCCTAAATCTTATGGAATCCAAATCCTAAAGCCTTTTAGGCAAGCAAAACTCCCACCAACATCAAAATTTGACTAGAAAAAAATCAACTCAAACGATAATTTGTATCATTTGCTTTATTCCTGAGGTAAAGATTTTAAGGCCAGAAGAGATCATTAGATCATCTATTCTGACCTTCCATAAAACACAGGCCATTGAACTTCATCCTGTTACACCATTATGATCCAAATGTGGGTTCTTTTCCTAGTTGTTTAGACTTGCTGTATCACTTTTTACAAATAACAGCATCCTTGTACCTCAGTTTCCATATCTGTCAAATGGGGATAACAATTCTTCTCTATTTTCCAGGGGTGTTGGGCAATTTAATTCATTAGAGTTTGTAAAGTGCTATAACATCATTGGAAAGTTGCCATTGTGAGAATATAATAATTACATTTCTACAGCACCTTCCATTAAATTCTTTATGCATCCAGGTGCAAGCATAATCATTCACACTGTCCTACTGCTTTTCAGCACACTTGGAATAAAGAAGCATAGGGGGGAGGGGGAAGTGCAAAAAATCTAAGAGGGACTGGGAATGATTATGGACTTTTTTTACCCTCCTAACCACAGCATATTATTTTATT